CCCCAAAACCCCAAAACCCCAAAACCCCAAAACCCCAAGATGAAAGATCGAGGCTGAAATAATATTTATGAAAATGAGGAATCTTGTCTTCAAGCTAGTTATTCTTTCCCTAATCTTAGGCTTGGTTGTCCCAAAGTTTGGAGTCCTCAAAAGGTTCAGGAAAGACCCTGACCTGAATCTAGAGAAGACTCAGAAGAAGGCTGACAAGAACTTGAGGATGCTCTTGGTGATGCTGCAGTCTTTCAGACTCATTATGGAAGGGTTCCAAGACTATAGTCTTCCAATACAAGAAATGCTTTCCTTCTTTAATTTGGCCATTGGGGTTGTCCTGAGGTTGTTCAACTGTGAGACTCTCAGTTGAATAACCCCTGAACTTGTCATGCAGAAGTTGTTTTATGAATTCAGAAACTTTGCTCGAGAAGTTATATCAGAGTCTGAATATGGCTATTATATGCTGTTCTATTCGTATGCTCGAAAAGAATTAGGAGTTATTAGCAAGATCATTAGCACAAAGGGTTTTGATGAATTCACACAGAACTCAAATTGCACACGCATGAGAATTGCACAGTACTTCATGCCAACTTTTAAAGGAAATGATACTTCTAATTGCTCTCAATTCGATGATATCATCATCAGTTTCTCAGAGCAACCAGTTGATCCAAGTCTGGATCTCAAACCTCTACTTGTGAAGCTGAGTATTATCATGATTCTGTTGATTTTAAATTTTGTAGCATTTAAACTTCTTGCACGAGAATTTAAGATATTTGAGAACCAACATCAGCACCTCCAAATAAGGCAGCTAAAACTAACACCAAGCAAGGAGTGAATCTCAGAGGCTTCTTCTCTTCATCAAGAGCTTCTGGCCATGCACATCTCTCCTCTGAAATATCCTCAGATCATAGAAGAGTCTGACGAATCTTGCAGCTTCGATTCCGAGCCCTATAGCTCTTTGACATCAGGAGCGAGAGTTCGAGGTTCCTCTGCCTTCATCCTCTCAGATGTTGCTTCCAAGGGAAAATAATAGATTTTAAATTTTATTTATTTTGGTTGATATTCAGTTTAAATATTATATTTCGGGGTTTTGGGGTTTTGGGGTTTTGGGGTTTTGGGGTTTTGGG